CCCCCCACCCCCCCCCCCGGGGGCTTTTCCTTCGTTGGTTTACTATAATATGGGTAAAACCATGTACATGACATTGTTTTTGAGCAACTGGCTAGCCGTGAAATGCCTGAATTGCAGCAAAATCATAACATAATTTTGTCGCATATATTGAAAACCTTCACCGAGATATGGCTCGAGGCCTGACGAAGCTGACGAAGATTTATACCAAGTTGGTTGGTTAATGTAACTGTTTTCAGTCACTTTGGATTATACTATGGATAATGGACTTTTACGAGGAAGCTATTTAACCAGCCTAGTTGATGTGTTTCTTTTTCTTTGCCACATTGTGCTGAGTACTTTTCTACGTATCTCTTACTCTAAGAGTTGAATCAGATGACATACCTGAAGTAGGTATTGGTCCACAGCTCCACAACAGCAAAAAGATTTGTTGTAGAACAAGGAAGGTAAGCATTTTATCTCTTCCTTTCTCCTGCACTAATGAAGCAGAAACAAAACAGAATCAACTGTTGGTTAGTATAACCTTTGTAGGTAAGTCATACTACTATACTAAATTGTAATAATTTTTTTCCAAAGGGTTCTAGGTGTGAGCAAGAGAAATTCTTTCAATTACTAGCCGATTTTTACAAAGATCGGTAGCCTTGCTAAATCATTAATAAAGCGCTAGTAAAATTACATCAGTCTAAAAAGCTTCCCGAAAATAGTTTTAAAATAACTTTGTAATAATTGGTCTCATCGGATTGGTCTGAAATAGGGTACAACAACGAAGAGATAGTCAACGAGCAGCGAGGCCAAAGCACCGAAAAAAAACAACACAACTTGAAAAAAAAAAAAATTAAAAAGGAACACAAAGTTTTTGAATACTTTAAAACTGTTATGAGATTGCGTGTTTCTTGTCTTATTGTAACCATTCTTTAATACCGACCTTGAGGCCTGCTCTAAATGTATTCTGTTCAAGACCAAGTCTGTAGCAGGATTTAAGATTAGTTGGTTGTCACATCAGTTTATCTACATTTGACTTTATTTCTGTGAAAATGATAAAATATGAATAAGACCACCTCTTGAATTGGAAGACCTGCTCTAGCAATGGTAAATACAACCCACTTACCTGGTTTTGAAACTGAATTTTACCAGCTTGTCAATTATTGTCAATTATCAGCGAGTTAAAAATGAAGACCTCTCAGGAGTTTTTAGGAACAAAGGAACATGGGCGTTTTATCAAGGGAACAAAAGATTTCTTTTGGATTACTTTCAGGGAACAATGGAAATCTCTACTATTACAGAGAATTCCGAAACAAAATTTTAGGGAACAACTGAATACTCTACGGGGACCAAAAAGGTAAATAAAATACTATTACGGGGGCCAGGAAACATGTACCCCACACTCCTCGCATTTGCTAGCGCTTTGGTTAAGTAAGTATACTGTTTTCATATTGTGGAACCGCATAGAGACACTGCCAGGTCAAACCAATCAAGTTTGAATTTCTTTATTTTTACGAACACACTGACAATCTCCAATCATCACCGGTTTACATGCCTTCAATTCATACACTAAGCATGGCTTGTAAATTTATGTCATTGACCTTTGACCTATTTGACGCGAAAAATCTTTAAATGTTCTGATCTGCCGAGGACTAAGAAACCAAGAAGAAACAATATTTAGACAAGAGACATCAGTGACAATTTCAAGAATTAAGTTAAAAAATACTGGTAATACCCCGATCGCAGCAAATGAACTTAGCCACTCAAGTGAATTAACAATTCTCAGATTGACAAAATAGCTTTTTTGGGAAGAGGGTCATAAGATTTCGGCAAAAGAAATTCATTGTACCTTTCAAAAGATAGTTTCGACCCAAATTTTAAGAGCACTTGTCCATAAAAATCAAACATTGAGTGGCAAACTTGAACATTTCGAAATCGCTCAAACTCTGGCTATTAGTAGTCCATATTGAACTATTCATTGCTATGTGGTTCATTTGCCAAATGGATTTTTATTTTGGCAGAAAATGGCGATATTAGATCTCAGGGCCAATGTGAAAAATTTAGGCTTGAAAATTAGCCATTTTGAAGAAAACCGCATAAAGCCAGAAGATATCCACATGCGATCAGCTTATGCTACAACTTTTCCAGTTTTATATTGTAATTTCTATAACATTTGAAAAAATTCTGACATTGTGCGAAACCTGGAGGAAACCTCCATTTTTCTCTATGGAAATCACTACCTAACGTGAAAACGCAATTTACCCTACTACCTTTATCATGAATTAAACGAAATTTAGAGATCAAACCCCTTTAGGGATGGGCTTTTAAAAGATATGATTTTTGTTCTGGGGAAATTAGGCTGTGGCCTATGAGAGAGTGCTTAAAATTGCACATATTCTCGAAATCAAACAGATTGCGTGAGCGACCGTAACAGACAGACATGAAATGATCCCCGGGATCCCACCATAAATGATTCCCGGACCGGAAATGGTTGCCTCGCCATAAAGGATGGAAATATTTGGACTCAGGAATTTGGATGGATTTAAAATTTAAATAACTGATTTTTTTTTCTCACTGTGAAGCTCAGAAAACCGGGAACACTTTGATTTGATTCTGACAGTTCAATAGTGCGCTGACTAAGTACAATAAAGTTCAGGACACACGAGGAAACCTCAAAACCACAAACGAATTACCGTTGCTGTTTGCGGTCGGTTTACTTTTCGCACTGGCTATTTCCTTGCTATACCATTTCATTCCATAAAAATGTCTGGCTTTCATGTTTTCCTGAGTTTCCCAATAATAAAGCAATATTTTGATACAACATTTACTATATGTAACGCAAGCAAAATTTGAACGATTTGAATGCACATCTCATAACTTTAAAAATCTTATCCAGCGTCCAGCTAGGTCTTTCCGCGGATGTTTTTATTGGGTCACTGGAGATGTATTCTAACACAGGATGCTCACTATATCCTCGAATTTGGAGACTACTGCGAACTTCCAAGAAAATTGACTCGCGTATCTGTCGGCACAGCGCTAGAGGAGGAGATTATTGATAGTAAAAAACATTGCACGGGCAAAAGCGGCAGCTCTACTCGGACAGCATCCAAATAAATCTATCCAAAGAAGAGTGCGGTAACTCAAACGATTAGTACTTCCATTAAAATGTAATAATGAAAAATGTTTCATAATCTCCGGAACTCGCAGGCAGAAATCTCGTACACTTTTTTGGACGCCCGTGTCTATCTAGGACGCAAGTGTAAGTAATATACAGGGAAAAGTTCTAAGCGGCTAATTAGATAACAGAGGCATCTTCGAAGATTCTAAGAGAAAAATTTATACAGTCGACAAATGACAATTTCGTATTTTTCGAAGTATGTTCGACGTTTTTTATTGTTACTTTTATGCCTGAGGCTCTTGCCTTATCTTCACCACGAGTAATTAAAAAAATATATATATCATATACATCCGTCGACTATTCATGGAGTCCACGCCATTCCTAGTAATTTTCGGTATCATTTACAGGAATGAAAGCATTTTTTGGAAAGCATTTTCAAATCGCTGGGCAGGAAAATTATCCTCTATGTGCTTATCCGAAGTTTACTTCGAAAATAAGTCATTTCATTTCTCTGCATGACGGATTCACGTGAGGCGCAATGGCTGACAAGTCAAATTTCGCCAATAAAAATTCTGCATAGAAAAGCTGATGACTGAACAAAAATCGTGCAAGGGAAGCCATGGGGAAAATATCGAGCAAGTTCTAATTACTATCATTTTTGCTGATTTTTGAGGTTACAAAATTATTGCACAAGCTATTGCCCACCGAAAAACAAAAATCATGCACAACCTAACGGTGAGAAAAACATTTCATACCCCCCAAAATTTGCCCAACCTCCCCTCAAAAGAAGGATCCTTCCCTAAACCAAACCTCTAATGTTATACGTCATTTAAATCGAACAATCACGTGTCTTTCCTAGAATAGCCTCGCAGTATGACCACGTGCTAAAACTAGATTCAAAAGATTATCATCGGAAGAGGCCCATGTTTGGGGGATGTGTTCTCTTAGATCATCATCTCTTGCTTCAATCTTTTATATTCTCCAGGCCAATTTGCAGTGATTTTATTCAGTGAAAACAAACAATGTTTGTGTGTGCGTTCTCGCTATTTTTGAATCTATGTTTTCGATTATCTCCTCAAATACCCTTAATCCCACTTCGGTCAGCGGAAAAATGTCATTTAGTGGCAATCCCGGGGTGGCAATGAGTGGCTGACAGATAATAGTCCCTTAAGAGGGTCAGATTTGATTCTATTTTTATCAAAGGGTACTGACCAAAAGTATAACGTGATACTGCCATTTCTGAAGGGAAATTGTTCTCTTCCTCTTTCTTGGTTGTGTGGGTGTGGTCGTTTAATGATAAGCCCTCTGGACTACCGATCAAGTGGTCCTGGTTCGAGCCTTGGCAGGGGACATTGTGTTGTATTCTTGGGAAAGATACTTTACTCCCACTGGGCCTCTCTCCACCCAGGTGTGTAAAAGGATGCGACAGTCTGTTAGCTATTTTATAAACACTTTACTCGAACCCATTACTAGTGCAACCAAAACTTTGAGAACTCAACACAATTGCAAGGTTGGTCCTAGTGAGAATTTTCCGTGAGGGTACAAAAACGCGAAATTCATTGATCCGTCGTTGAAAACTGGTCAAAAAATAACCTGTACCAAGCTGTCACATTTTTCTCAGCAGGAATTGATATGTACCTGTTTCATTTTCAACGGAAGAAATTTGCTGGCAATAAAAAAAGCCAGGGAAACTGCCAGAGAAAAATCTGGAAAAGATATATAATTTATTATGTTGATGTTTACTGAGTTTTTTCACACCGTCACATAGGGAACGCCGTAGAGGCATGGAGCGGAGCATAACGTGAGACAAAATAGCAACCTAGGTAAACGCTATTGACTCTCAAATGTGTGAATTGTCAGATTGCCTAACAAAAGATTTGTGTAAGAATTTAAGATAGTTTAAACATAACGTCATAAGCCTAAACGATAACTATTATCTGATGATCAGAATAGCGATTCCATTAGTTGATCCTATACCAAACAATTTTCTTGAACTGTTGAACTGAAGACATAGTGCTGGTACGTACTGTTACAGTGGAACTCTGCGTTACGGCCATCCTGTTATTACGATCGTTTAAATTACATTTGTTTGGAAGTTCAGCTAGACTGGCTTGTAAATTGTAGTTTGTTTAATAAGCTTATTACCTCTTAGAACTGATCCATGATGTATTTGAATCGTCAGATCGTCACCCCACGAGATGCCAAGGACATCAAAAGGCGGTCCTTTAGCATCCAAGCCTTATTACGTTTCCACGGCGGTCTTGTTGGCCAGAAACACTGTCATCATTTTAGCCATAGCACTGTTCTACGTCAATTTGGTTGTGGCAGATGAATCAAAACCAATTCCGCCAGGACGGTACCAAAAGCTGATAGGTCCGGGCTTTGCCACAAACTGGTTCAAGACAAAGGGGCCCATGAAGAAATATTCCGAACAAAACATTAAAAACGTCAGTGATAAAGGATTTAAGAACTTAAGGCTGCGATGCAGGGCAGATTTCTACTCATACGATTACACAGCCACAAACTTTACTTGGTTTCTTGGAAATTTGACCACCGTTGTTGATCACTGCTTAAAGCACAAGGTCATCCCAATTGTGTCGTGGATTCACCACCACGCCGAGGCCTATGCTACAGAAGAGGACCATGATGCTTATGTGGCTTGGTGGACAGCAGTGGCGCAGCAATTGAAAGACAAGCATTTCAAATTGAGTTTCAATCTTTTTACAGAATTAGGAATAGACGAATGTGGGACAAACTGCGACGAAAGTCTTCGCAAAAGAATTGATAAATACAACAACTGGACCGCAGATGTGGTGGCAGCGATTCGTGGAACAGGTGGCAACAACGGTCAGCGGATACTGATTCTCGGATCGCCAGGAAAGACTGCGAAGGACCTGGAAAACATCGAAAGCACAATTTATAGCAATGATTCATATATGATGGCGGAGTGGCACATTTATGCCTCAGGGCCGAACAAAAAGAAAGATGGGCAGAAATACTGGAAGGGAAACGGTACCACCAAAGGCCAAGAAAATGTCAAAAATGCGATCTATGAGGCAACTAATTTCACGGAGAAATTCAAACTGCGGACATACCTTGGTGCCTGGATGCCTCAAGACAACAAAGATGGAGACTTGAATGAAGATGAAGTGATAAGCTTTGCACGCTTTTTTGTGAGTGAGCTTCGCAGTGTAAACATACCATGGTCGTTAAACGTTTTGGATCGCTACTACGATACCAAAAAGAAGACATGGCTGACAGAGAAACAGAATATCCGGGGGCGAAACCTTAACATGTCACGGGTGTTGGACAATATCCGCGAAGTAATGCCCTAAAGGGTAACGTTGAACACTATTGTTGTTTTATCAGTTCTCAAGACAAGGTCAGTGTAGACCTTCCTCAAGAACAACAATTAATATAATAACACTGATAGTCCTTACAGGCAGGTATCAGAGGTATGTTTTGAACATGTAAAAGGGGTAGAGCAGGAAAATGCTGAAAGGGATATAACCAATAAGTTATGGTAAGTTGAAAAAACAAAACATAAAGTGAATCGAATAAAACATATAAAACTGATATGACTAAAAAACTTTCGTTAAATTTGAGGACCCACTTTTGCGAAGCAATGACAATCCATTTGCCTGGTTTGAAATTAGAGTCTTAACAAACTTATTGTGAGTCTGGTGATTCCTCAAGTAAATGTCGTCGCATGTATCATTCATTCTGTCAAAAGCCACAGCCGTTAATTGGTTACTCAGAGGTCGTCTTATTGCTTTCCCTGAAGTGGCTGAATTGTAAAGCAACTCTTCATCCACGTCAACCGAGTTTGTAGGATCGATGCATGCATGGTTCAAGGTTAGGTCGGGATAGGTAATACCAAGGTAGATAAATTGAACTGTTTCCTCGGTCACCTCAGTACCTGTAAACACGACATAATTTGCGGTTCGGTGACTTTCGAACTTGGGCGATGCTCGCTGTATCAACATTATGCAGAACTTTGTAAACTTCATTGCAAAGCTCTACTATCTTAAATATTTCAATGCAATGACTGAACACGAACAAGAGAAAAACGATAGTTTTTTCTTACAATAGATGCATTCTTCCACGGTTTACCCTGCAATTTTGGCTAAGGGGCTTGAAACGGTACATTTACTGTAAATGCTTGAGGTTCGGTGAAAGATAATTCGATCAAAATTTACGTTTAAAATTAAATAGAAGGCAGAGTTAATGAGCAAAAGATCTTTCCCATCGAATTAAAAGGATATAACTCTGGAATCCTATTTACAATTTTCAATATCTATGTAGAGAGAGGAATTTTTTGCGCGGTTTCTTTTTAAGGTGAAAGAGAAAATGTAGTATATTCTTTGCTATGAATGTGTCGTGAGTTTGTGAAAAATGATGGGAAAATTAAATCTAATTAATGCATTTGAATTTGATTTTGTTTGAAAAAATTGTCCAGAGGAAATAACATCTTCGAAACCTTTAGACTAAATGTAATTCAAAACTTGACTTATGTCACTTATTGTTTTACCTCGTGATTAGAGCTAAAACCTTTACTTTTCATTAATTAGAACCCGCCTCTACTGGTTGAATAGGGGCNCCCACCGAAAAACAAAAATCATGCACAACCTAACGGTGAGAAAAACATTTCATACCCCCCAAAATTTGCCCAACCTCCCCTCAAAAGAAGGATCCTTCCCTAAACCAAACCTCTAATGTTATACGTCATTTAAATCGAACAATCACGTGTCTTTCCTAGAATAGCCTCGCAGTATGACCACGTGCTAAAACTAGATTCAAAAGATTATCATCGGAAGAGGCCCATGTTTGGGGGATGTGTTCTCTTAGATCATCATCTCTTGCTTCAATCTTTTATATTCTCCAGGCCAATTTGCAGTGATTTTATTCAGTGAAAACAAACAATGTTTGTGTGTGCGTTCTCGCTATTTTTGAATCTATGTTTTCGATTATCTCCTCAAATACCCTTAATCCCACTTCGGTCAGCGGAAAAATGTCATTTAGTGGCAATCCCGGGGTGGCAATGAGTGGCTGACAGATAATAGTCCCTTAAGAGGGTCAGATTTGATTCTATTTTTATCAAAGGGTACTGACCAAAAGTATAACGTGATACTGCCATTTCTGAAGGGAAATTGTTCTCTTCCTCTTTCTTGGTTGTGTGGGTGTGGTCGTTTAATGATAAGCCCTCTGGACTACCGATCAAGTGGTCCTGGTTCGAGCCTTGGCAGGGGACATTGTGTTGTATTCTTGGGAAAGATACTTTACTCCCACTGGGCCTCTCTCCACCCAGGTGTGTAAAAGGATGCGACAGTCTGTTAGCTATTTTATAAACACTTTACTCGAACCCATTACTAGTGCAACCAAAACTTTGAGAACTCAACACAATTGCAAGGTTGGTCCTAGTGAGAATTTTCCGTGAGGGTACAAAAACGCGAAATTCATTGATCCGTCGTTGAAAACTGGTCAAAAAATAACCTGTACCAAGCTGTCACATTTTTCTCAGCAGGAATTGATATGTACCTGTTTCATTTTCAACGGAAGAAATTTGCTGGCAATAAAAAAAGCCAGGGAAACTGCCAGAGAAAAATCTGGAAAAGATATATAATTTATTATGTTGATGTTTACTGAGTTTTTTCACACCGTCACATAGGGAACGCCGTAGAGGCATGGAGCGGAGCATAACGTGAGACAAAATAGCAACCTAGGTAAACGCTATTGACTCTCAAATGTGTGAATTGTCAGATTGCCTAACAAAAGATTTGTGTAAGAATTTAAGATAGTTTAAACATAACGTCATAAGCCTAAACGATAACTATTATCTGATGATCAGAATAGCGATTCCATTAGTTGATCCTATACCAAACAATTTTCTTGAACTGTTGAACTGAAGACATAGTGCTGGTACGTACTGTTACAGTGGAACTCTGCGTTACGGCCATCCTGTTATTACGATCGTTTAAATTACATTTGTTTGGAAGTTCAGCTAAACTGGCTTGTAAATTGTAGTTTGTTTAATAAGCTTATTACCTCTTAGAACTGATCCATGATGTATTTGAATCGTCAGATCGTCACCCCACGAGATGCCAAGGACATCAAAAGGCGGTCCTTTAGCATCCAAGCCTTATTACGTTTCCACGGCGGTCTTGTTGGCCAGAAACACTGTCATCATTTTAGCCATAGCACTGTTCTACGTCAATTTGGTTGTGGCAGATGAATCAAAACCAATTCCGCCAGGACGGTACCAAAAGCTGATAGGTCCGGGCTTTGCCACAAACTGGTTCAAGACAAAGGGGCCCATGAAGAAATATTCCGAACAAAACATTAAAAACGTCAGTGATAAAGGATTTAAGAACTTAAGGCTGCGATGCAGGGCAGATTTCTACTCATACGATTACACAGCCACAAACTTTACTTGGTTTCTTGGAAATTTGACCACCGTTGTTGATCACTGCTTAAAGCACAAGGTCATCCCAATTGTGTCGTGGATTCACCACCACGCCGAGGCCTATGCTACAGAAGAGGACCATGATGCTTATGTGGCTTGGTGGACAGCAGTGGCGCAGCAATTGAAAGACAAGCATTTCAAATTGAGTTTCAATCTTTTTACAGAATTAGGAATAGACGAATGTGGGACAAACTGCGACGAAAGTCTTCGCAAAAGAATTGATAAATACAACAACTGGACCGCAGATGTGGTGGCAGCGATTCGTGGAACAGGTGGCAACAACGGTCAGCGGATACTGATTCTCGGATCGCCAGGAAAGACTGCGAAGGACCTGGAAAACATCGAAAGCACAATTTATAGCAATGATTCATATATGATGGCGGAGTGGCACATTTATGCCTCAGGGCCGAACAAAAAGAAAGATGGGCAGAAATACTGGAAGGGAAACGGTACCACCAAAGGCCAAGAAAATGTCAAAAATGCGATCTATGAGGCAACTAATTTCACGGAGAAATTCAAACTGCGGACATACCTTGGTGCCTGGATGCCTCAAGACAACAAAGATGGAGACTTGAATGAAGATGAAGTGATAAGCTTTGCACGCTTTTTTGTGAGTGAGCTTCGCAGTGTAAACATACCATGGTCGTTAAACGTTTTGGATCGCTACTACGATACCAAAAAGAAGACATGGCTGACAGAGAAACAGAATATCCGGGGGCGAAACCTTAACATGTCACGGGTGTTGGACAATATCCGCGAAGTAATGCCCTAAAGGGTAACGTTGAACACTATTGTTGTTTTATCAGTTCTCAAGACAAGGTCAGTGTAGACCTTCCTCAAGAACAACAATTAATATAATAACACTGATAGTCCTTACAGGCAGGTATCAGAGGTATGTTTTGAACATGTAAAAGGGGTAGAGCAGGAAAATGCTGAAAGGGATATAACCAATAAGTTATGGTAAGTTGAAAAAACAAAACATAAAGTGAATCGAATAAAACATATAAAACTGATATGACTAAAAAACTTTCGTTAAATTTGAGGACCCACTTTTGCGAAGCAATGACAATCCATTTGCCTGGTTTGAAATTAGAGTCTTAACAAACTTATTGTGAGTCTGGTGATTCCTCAAGTAAATGTCGTCGCATGTATCATTCATTCTGTCAAAAGCCACAGCCGTTAATTGGTTACTCAGAGGTCGTCTTATTGCTTTCCCTGAAGTGGCTGAATTGTAAAGCAACTCTTCATCCACGTCAACCGAGTTTGTAGGATCGATGCATGCATGGTTCAAGGTTAGGTCGGGATAGGTAATACCAAGGTAGATAAATTGAACTGTTTCCTCGGTCACCTCAGTACCTGTAAACACGACATAATTTGCGGTTCGGTGACTTTCGAACTTGGGCGATGCTCGCTGTATCAACATTATGCAGAACTTTGTAAACTTCATTGCAAAGCTCTACTATCTTAAATATTTCAATGCAATGACTGAACACGAACAAGAGAAAAACGATAGTTTTTTCTTACAATAGATGCATTCTTCTACGGTTTATCCTGCAATTTTGGCTAAGGGGCTTGAAACGGTACATTTACTGTAAATGCTTGAGGTTCGGTGACAGATAATTCGATCAAAATTTACGTTTAAAATTAAATAGAAGGCAGAGTTAATGAGCAAAAGATCTTTCCCATCGAATTAAAAGGATATAACTCTGGAATCCTATTTACAATTTTCAATATCTATGTAGAGAGAGGAATTTTTTGCGCGGTTTCTTTTTAAGGTGAAAGAGAAAATGTAGTATATTCTTTGCTATGAATGTGTCGTGAGTTTGTGAAAAATGATGGGAAAATTAAATCTAATTAATGCATTTGAATTTGATTTTGTTTGAAAAAATTGTCCAGAGGAAATAACATCTTCGAAACCTTTAGACTAAATGTAATTCAAAACTTGACTTATGTCACTTATTGTTTTACCTCGTGATTAGAGCTAAAACCTTTACTTTTCATTAATTAGAACCCGCCTCTACTGGTTGAATAGGGGCGAAGGGACTTATTCGAATCGACTTATTCGAAGCTTTTAAAAAATAGATCTGTTTTTTGCATATAGATCTCGAGACCGTTCGACGTAGGCATATGAACGGTTAAAAAAGAAAAAACAAAGAAAACTGGTGAGACAATCTCAGATAGTGCAGAGTGTAATGTATGGCTGTGACGCAGTACTCGTAACACAGTTCCTACACAACCCCTGGCGTTCACTCCTGGTTTGTATTGACCTTACTAGTCAGCTAGGGATTTTGATGAGACATAATCTTAGCAGTGTGTGTGTTTCATGTATGTATTTTTATTCACAGTCCAAGTATAACTAACAATTAATTACCCTTTGTCAAGACAGCTCTTGAATTTTACTGTGGTGTTTTACCCCGATTTTTGCGCATTTTAAGTAGCAAACGTGACTATGTTACTTTTTACGCCAACGTTTGTAGCTTGATACTTTTGTTTTCCTCGCAAAGGAATTTAACATGAAACTCTTGTTTTCTCGAAAACACTTGGAAGAAGTTCCCGTGTTTTTTTATTCACAGCTGGAGATAAATGGAAGAAAGTTGAGTGTCTGCCAGATGAAGCAATCGAAGAGGAAAGATTTGTTTTACTTATTTAACACGCAAATTTTCTTTTCACAGATAAACAAGAACTAATCTAATTATCAAATTGTCACGGCTCATCACGTTCTGTTGCCACCTTTCGCGATAACAATAAAATCACCTATAAATTTAATACACACTGATATCGATTAATACAACTGAGCAGCGATTCAACTCGAGAAGTAGCGCTACTTGACCGAGATTAAATCCTTCATTTTTGAACGAGTCCCCTCAAAGACTAATGACATTAATTTACGCTTTCAGTATAGGTACCACGAAGTCTGCAGCAATATTTGACCAGTTTCAGTTTTTTTTTGTACAATTTTTAATGCCATCGGGAAAGTTTCGGCTACGGTTATGAACTTTTTGGTCTCTTTGATAGAGACAGTTAAAGGATGAACTAAACGTACTAGCGTAGTTTGGAAACAACAGATGATATTTCTTGAACCAAGTTAGGCGTAATTCCAAAAGATATGTAGTCACAGTAGCTCTCTTGTATTATGCTAACGACGCTAGAACGCATGCGTATGACATGTTAGGGTTCTACCACAAGGTAAAGCACTCAACGTTAGCGTGTGATCTTGTATGAATGTATCTTCCACCTAATATGTAGTTGACACTAACGCATATTAATCTGCACATGCGTTTAGACCGGACTAGAAGCTTCTTTCTCTAAAATTCCTAAGGTGCCACGTTATAGTAATCACGTTTTTCTAAGATCCTGATCATATAAGAATCCACTACAAACTGCTGACTCACACCTGAAAACCAAATGAATTGGGTAAGTAGTTGGAGGTTTGTCCTACACCTTATTTCTTGTCAGTTGCTTTGCCTTAATGATTTAACACAAATCTTTTGATAGAGACCATCCAATGATATAACAATATAACCAGCTACCGATTAGTTCATGAGATTTGCCCATAATGGCCAAGTTTAACAAGAAAAGTCTGTACAGTCTGTATAAAATCTTCGTTTTCTGCCAAATCCTTATCTACCGCCTTATTTTCTCCCAAGAAAAGGAGCCAATACTTACTTAATTTCTCTTCTAAAAGTCCATTATTTTTCCGAATTAGACTTTTCATAGAAGAGAAAAAAACTTGACGTCGATACCGAGATATCGATATCCTAACAAGTCTCTTTCTTAGCAGGATTGGTGCTATAGTGGTGCTCAGTCACAAACATGATAACCAGTGACACTTCTGAGCAAATTTGGCATTGGTTTCTAAATAATATATGCCACATATTGCGATTTCGAATCATTATTTTGAAATTGCGATAAATAGGTTATAGAAGAATTATAGTAACCTTCTGTCTAACCGAAAAGGTAGATACATTTGCCACAGGAGAACATTTCCTGCTTTTTTGTCTTATGGATAATTTGGTTTTTCACTGTCTATACGCACGGGATGCAACATTCGCAGCATGCTTGTTGTAGCACGAAAACACGTCGTACGGTCATAATATATCTATATGAAAAACAGAAAACAAATAGAAACGGAGAGCAACGACGCGCGGTATAGATCAAGTTTCGTGACCTTTGCAATAAATAATGGGGTTTTAGATATGCAGTTGTTGGTCGTTGATCGACCATTGCCAAGACGATACGTAGGCAGTTGGGACACGTTTTGTGGCTGTTGCCTTTGTGGAGAGGTGGCCATTGTAAAGAGGCTAAAACAGGAGTGAATGTAAGGCCGTCCAGCTAGACAGTATACAACAAGATGGCCGTAGTTTAAGTAGTCAAGCAAAGAAAAAGATTGATTTTAAACAGCAACGTAATGGAGCATGTAACGTGAGTTGCTTCAGTAGTGAATGACAGTGCGTAAAAGCACTCTTGCTATTCATATTTTATGCTAGGAGGGGGTTGGAATATCCTGGTTATGTTAAATGCATTGGTAAAGGGTTTATTCTCACTTTCTTTTCTTTTACTGATAAATATCTATCACAACCTAAAAATGAGGAGCTTGGTAAAAGAAACAGAGTGACATGATAGTTATTATGAGTGCAAAGAAAGCCATAAAGAATTTATCCAGTATGTGAGCAGCAGTTTTCCATTCATTTCTCTTTAAAATGTCATCACTTGTTATCATTCGCCTTCTCTTTCCAGAATTTTTGTTTGATGATCCAAAAACTCTTCCGAGGCAATCTAGAATGATCAATCGAACCCACATCGGCATCTCACCATCACAATGGCGACCGTACGAGTAGTTTAGCACTACACAGGTCGCGGCTAGTGAAAGGGAAATCAGAAACATTGTGGCGATGTAGAACTTTCCTAAAAGGGGGGCACTGTTGGAGGTGGAAGGAAGGTTCTGGTAAACCAGCTGAAGAAACACAATCATGGCCAGCAGTACAGTGATGCCTAGCTGCATCCTCTCTCCCGACTCTGGCGGCAGGTAGAAGCCAACAAGGACCATGGCTGTTATTATTATGGCAGGGACAATCAGGTACAGAGTATAAAACAGCGGCTTCCGGCGGACATGAATAGTGTATGTTATGTCGACGTACGGTTTGGGGCAGCAGTCGTACAATTTTGATGTCCTAGAAAACGATAGATGCAGATAAATAACATTTTTGTTAAACCAAAATTTTCGAGGATCACTCAAAGAAAGCGAAAATCATCCTTTTGAGCATGTTATGACTTTGAACTGCCTAAAAAGAAATAACAAATTCACCTTTTCTGCTCCAGTCCCAGTAGCTGCCATTCGCCATGCTCTGTGTAAATATCATCGCTAGACGCATTGGTAAGAATGCGCATGTCTAAACGTGTTTCGTCATGAGTCCAGCTTCCAAACTTCATCGGGCATTTTTGATCGTCAAAAGGGAAAAATCTCGGATAGAAAACAAAAAAGTGAATTAACTATCAAGTGGAACAATTAGTGATTAAAACGAAATGAACGAAATGAGTAGGGACTCATATATCTAGATGGATCGATAGATGGGATGCTAGTCCTTCGCAGGGCTACCCCCAGCATTAAATTCGCGGGTACCCATTTGTCCATTTTCTGGGTGGAGAGAGGCACTGTGAGAGTTAAGTGTCTTGCCCAAGAACACAACACAATGTCCCCAGCCAGAGCTCGAACCCGGACCGCTCGATCGAGAGTCGAGCGCTATGACCATAAGGCCACCGCGCCCCCACTCCAAAAGAGACTTACGTATTAATACGAATTATGACAAATAGGACTGTAATTTTGAGTTGGTATTTACGGTCAAAAACATTATTCTGTACGATTAAATGTTATACTGCTAGTTATGAAACGCGAAGACAACAACTTGTAACTTATCGCTTCTACGGCATTACGGATAATGCAAAACACTGGCAAGGTTTACCTGACATCTAAGTGACAGACTGTAATGAACATGGCAGGTGCAAGCCAAATTGAGCTTCCATTAGCAAAAATAATGACGTCTGTCTTGTACTTGTGAGTTCCCCCGGAGAAGGTAAACTCTGCGCTAAAATACAAGAAATAAAGAGAGACATTCCATAATGTTAAACAACTCTTGTGGAGAACACAACCGTATTCAGCCCTAGCCCTAAGTTTTCTGGCTTCTCAACGACAGGGAAGGAATTTTTTACCTTCCTCCGTAACTTTGGCAATTATAGAATCAAGGCAAGTGATGAAACTTGGAGAGCTCGAGTGCATATTAAGTTTGTCCAAAAAACGTTTTCGCTCAGGTCTGCGACATTTAACAAATTGACGTCAGTTTTCCATCCGTCTGTCCTGTTATTGACTATGAATTTCGTCATAACATTGTCAAAGTATCTCTGGATCACGAGGCGATAGCCGAGTGGATCCGCAGACTACTTTGACAATGTTATGACGAAATTCATCATCAATAACAAGACAGACGCATGAAAAACTGACCTCAATTTGTTCTTTTACGATAACAGATTGTCAAATTGTCCGCTATCGCTCGTTGACGCATCGCATAAATTATAAATTCATGTGTCTGTCCGCATATTGACGATGAAAATTAGCCAATGAGTACGCGAGACTTTCTGCAGTTATCGTAAAAAAAAATTATGATGTTAAATGCTGACTTGCAAATAGTACAATCAAGGATCCCCACAACAATACAAACCCACAAAATCCAATTAAACCATGCCAAAATTAACTAATAACTCAAAAGTCACATCAACAAAGCAAACAACATGGATAATTACACGAAATTCACGACTTCGGCTGTTTAATTCTTAAAAAATATGATTGCCATGGAAACATCAGGTCAGATTGTGAAGAATGGCGTGCACATTACAGATATAACAGCTACAAAGCTTATTGTCACTTGTTTTAATACTAAAAGAAGTTATTAAGTTTATATAAATGATTAAGACGGCCATGAATACCAACTTCCTCCTCCTCCGGTCTAAACACAATTAAACCTACAACAAGATTCATCTTTTCGAGATGTCTAAAATCTACACAGCCATATGGCAGGTAACGCCAAGTGGGACTCTGCGACCCTTTTTTACGTGCAAGCGTCAACTATTTTCTTTGCTTCCTTAATTAACTGGCTTAGCTCAGGTAGCAAGCGTCAGCTACTTCCTTTCCCTTCCTTCACCCTTCTCCTTCGTTCAAGCGTCCATTGTGCTCTTTCCTTTCCAACGACTCTTCTCCTGACAGAAAGCGTTAGCCTGAAATGTCAGTTATCTCCCGCCCTCAGTCTACTTCCTCGGGAGATAAACGCCAGTTGCAGGGGCCCGTTTCTCGACATTTCAGGCCCGAAAAGCCATTTTTAGTTAATCTGTTTCTACAAACAGAGAGCTGTATATGCCTGAAGCTTCTTGTATGAAGGGAACCCCTGTTAATATTAAGGATACCTGAATAAAACAGTTCTGTAGGCATAAGATTAAAGACTTTACTCTCTCGTTTCCGAGTGTACTTTCGGGACCTTCGAGAAACCGGCCCCTGCAGTCTGAGCGTTATGATGCCGTCCGGCGACGTCACTTACTATTTCAAATATGTAAAGTATTTTCTGATTGGTTTTCAGTTCATGCAGGATAGATACAAGTTTCTTGCTGTTTAAAACGAGGTACAGGCTATAATAATGAGTATTTTTATTCTAGAATACCTGTTGTAGAGCACAATATCTGGAACCCAAACTTGGGAGGCATCTACGTTGATCTCGTCAATTCCACCGTATTGAGATTCATTCCATGTCAGTAATGGATTATTCCATTCCTGGAGAACATTTTACCCCGTCAAGGGTCAGCAACAACATGCAACATAAGCAATAATCTTGAAACTAGAATAGCTGTGCGGGTGGGGGGTATTGCACACAAAAGTTTCCATGGTTTAAAATTTGTATTGCTGGATCGCTACAATTGTTCATTTCAACTCAGAGTGATAATAAATTAACGCTGTTACACAGCAAATGTCTGTGCCAGGTGGGAATAATTGAATACCTCTGGAAGAAGTGCTGGTAATTCCCCCCTTGTCGGTGGATAGGATGCTCGCCACGGGGTCAGTTGCCCTCATCACTTTGTAAGGTTGACTCAATAAAACAACACGAGGACAATGGTCAAGGCTTGAAGCCATGAGTTCAATTAAGTTATCCTTACGTCAATGCAAAGATTTATCCAACTTGTATCTCATTTGCTAAAAACCCATGAATCCCGCTAGGCCGGTTCAGTTCGAAAGAAGACAACTAAACATGTTTACAAGGATAAGTAAAAGTTTAACACTGTTTACCAACATTTAGTATGAGTGATAGTTCTGATATACTGACCTGATATGTATAAAGAATGACCTGGAGGAGTTGCTCGTTGTCCTTCTAGATTGCATGCATAAGAATGTACATGAAAAAATTGTTATGAATTAAATCAGACCCTCCCTAAAAGCATCCCCATGTAAATGACATTATGTTTAAATATGTGTCCTCCTAACATTGTGTTGAATACTTCAGTCCAACAGAAAGCAAGTTAAGGCCGACTAAGAAGCGTGTAAGCACGTGTGTAAGCGCAAGCGCAAGTATAACCTATAAGTCGGGCATGCGGACTAAACTTGGTCTATACACATGGCGCAACCATTCTGAAGCATTAGTGTAAGCATTAGTAAAAGATAATTATTTACTTTTAAGAACAAGAAAAAAAGTTCCTCCTTTGAATTTGGCTTGTTGCTTAGTTAATCAATCAATCAATCAATCAATTAAACCTTAGGTGAAGAGGGTGATACTTCAAAGTAAAGAACTAATGAGCTTGTGGCCCTCTGAAAAATAGCTAAGTACAAACACATGTGATTGCAGCTATGCTTAGGCCGTCAACGTTGTATCTCCCAAGACGAGACAAGCGCAAGTGGAAGTCGGCGACCCTCTCCAGTTAAAGATGGTTTTGATCAGACACGAACAACGTAATTGAGCGTAAGCATACGCGCAATGCTGATGAACATGTAAAGCACTAACTATGCATGTTTACGCCTTGTTTTTGCTCACATCACATGTGTCAAGAATACACTTGCACTTATGCCTGCTCTGATGCTTACATTAGGTCGTACGTGTTAAAGGAGCTAAGTCACGGTATGCACGTCTTCACAAGTTTAGCCTAAATTTTTCTAGTTTGTCATTTGTAATCCGTGTTAATCTTTTCCATCCTTTATGATTTAGTAATATCTCTTTGGTGTTTTCCTATCTTTTAGAAGAAACAACATTTGCAGGTTTCTTTCAATTTAAAGGTAATGTTGTTCGTGGCCAAAATTACTCAAAATGCCGTGACATAGCTCCTTTGAGGGGCTTGTGGCGTCCCAGTGTGTTTCTGTTCTGCCGGGTAAACAACTGTATCTTTCCCACCACTGTTTCTAGATTTGACTGTGCTGACTGACATACTCACCAAGTCAATTATTTGTTTGAGTTTTGCTCTGAATGTGACCACGACCTGGTCATTTCTCCTCATCACAGGGCGGGAATACTTGCTGTAGTTTTGAAAGAGGTCATGCAGCAGCCTCTGCTCTTCATTAGGTACTGCCGCTATTAAATGATTACATTTAACAAAAAAAAAAGTAATTAAAATTAAATGAAATAAATAACTGTTCAAGTGTATTTAGCAGTGTTGGGTTAATTGGGGACATTGTAAATAATGAAACAAATATTGAAAATAGAATGTAAATTATTAAGAATCCCCACTGGTACGGTGTAAGGCTGACCAGTTGGCTATTTACACACCAGGCGTAGTCAATCAATAAAAATTGATATCGGAAATCAGTCGATTCAATCGATATCAATCGCCGATTGCTATCGATTGATATCAGCAATCGATAACAATCGAGCTCACAGAAAATTTCTTTATCGATTGCTATCGATTGGCAAAAATCGATAACGATTGATAATTACCGGGTTTAAAAGTTTTCTCTGAGTTTTAATTCCGATTTCAGCATAAGTGTACTTCCGTCTTCAGGTAACTGAAAGTATTTCTCATTGATTTACGGTTGAGACGAAAAATACGAACCATTGATGTTCCAGAATTACAATTTTGAAAGCGGAGGATACTTACCGTCAGCTGTTATTAAGGAGTCCAACATTAACAAACATACAAGCCCGATGTACGATTCTTTCAACATCTTCTTCCTATGCAGAAAGGCATAACAGCTCATCCCAAGAATCTGGAAAATAAATGGAAGAAAGCACGTGCACCGTACTATAGTAAACCGTATCTAGGCCAGGTTAATTGCATAAAAGAAGTTATGTGCACTCCGTTATTTTGTTCCGGGACATCTTGCACGAATTTGAAGGAGGCAGCGTGGCCGAGTGGTTAGGGCGCCGGACTTGAAATCCGGAGGTTGCGGGTTCAAGTCCCGCTCTGACCACTAAGTTGGAGTTGTTTCGCGGTAGACCCTAGTTCAACTCTTCGGTTATGCTTGTAAATAGCCAACTGGTCTGCCTCCCGCCAGTTGGGATTTTTAAGCCTGTTATGTTTAGTTGATATATTTGTTTCTTTCAGTTAAGTGGCATGCCTGTGAAGTAGCTAGGTGTTGCTAAGCGCATTGACCACTATAAACAACAAGAACAATTTGTAACTGAAAATGGTCAAGCGAGAGCTTCAACCCCTTACAAAGTTGCTTTCACTACACTAATAAAAGAGATGCAAGCAGGAAACACCAATACCGGCCTCAATCTTTTATTGCTCAGAAGCGTTCTTGTGGTAATAGTGAATAGAATACGTAGTTTTTAGAATGAGCATTTACAGTGGCTGTGTGCAAAGAGGGTCAGTAACTGAAGTCGAACTCGTTAGAGTGGTTTTTAATTGATTGTTAATAAAACAAAGCCAAGGCATTCAAGATGGCCAACTACAACAAAAGTATACAAGACAATGAACTAATCCGTGAAGTCAGTAAGAGCTTGATGCCACTTCTTTTAGCGGCGCTACCCGTGGAGAAAACTGAGTGACCAAGACACAAATAGCCTCTGTCTTTGTGGACCATAATGAGGTTTAGCAAAACAAAAGTAAAGCAATGTATTTGAAATTACTGTTTATAGAGTTGAAAACCGACCTATTCTGGACTAATGTGAATTAAGAAGGAGAACTAAGGGGTTGGCTTTCTTTTCCGGGTCGGAAAACCAATTGTGCAATGCAACAAATCAACACCGGATCGAAGTAAGGTCGGATCAGAAAAACGACCCAAACGATGAACGGGGTCGTGCACTCGTTTTTGCACATGTTATTATGGAACTCTGGTTGGATTTTGACTGATTGATGTAAATGAAAATTTGAATGGTCGTTTGCCCATGCATTAGTACTAGTTATCCTGTTTTGAAAATAAACCGTATGCATAGCCAATCACTTCTCGAAGATGATACACTTATTACAAAATTTAGCATTATACCGTGCATTTCTTTGGTTTGGTGTTTCAAAAAAGAGCTTGTAGAGCTGGAACCAAAGATAGCTTACCAGCTTTTATACATATGTTCTTGAAAACAAAAGTGGCTTATCCTGCTGATAACCCCATGGAAATATAGTTATCCTTTTCTTTTTATTTCGCCGAGATGATAAGTCCTTTGCTTACTTGTTTCATGATAAATAACAATTGAGCAATTATAGCACAAACACCATGAGTCTTCATTTTATAAAAAAAAAAGTATTTAAGAATAAATACTATTCAGCTGAATATGAAAAGGCAGTACTAAGCAGCTGCCTTTAATAATTACAAAAAAATGCAGCCTAGGCAAACACAATAACAGAGCAGAATCTCTCATCAAGTGCCATGTTAAGTGCATTTTGAGTGTTCTCATTTTGTCTCCTACGGAATTTTAAATAAACGAAAACATTTGGCGAAATGTACAGTCTGATATCTTACGGCGGAAGCTGGAAACGTTCGTATGTTACTGATCCTAAAAATGTTTCATGACTTTTGAGGGAAAAATGAAACGTACGTGTATTTCATGTTGTGATATTAACTGGTCAGAGATTAAAAGATTTGTGTTTCCAAAACGAAGGCTTGGAATATAATAAGTTTATTTTAAAACATGGTACCTTGTTTTTTTAAAACTATATTTTCCCTAACAAAAAGATACGAATATTCTTACCTCTTGTCAAATGTATCTGCCGTTTTGGTTCTAAACCTTCTTCAGAATCCTACCTACCAACGTCGAAAACGCAGATCGAAACAGCATAGGACGTTTTCTGAAATCCCATACACCTTTTAATCAGCTTATTCAGGTCATTGCTTTAAAACGTAAATGCAAACACGGTATCACATTCTATTGAAAACTCTTTAATTATGAACGAAGCTTTAAACTACAAATCGAACGTTATCATGAAAGCACTGAAACGTTCTTCAAAAAATTGTTTTTTGGCTGACAATAACTCGTTAAAAACAGATACGAAAAAAATACGTCCTTGGATTAGGCCTTTCAAATAACCAAATATTGGACTTCAAAGAGGAATTTAGTTCGTGGTAAATCCCTCATAGCTTTCCTTAGAGGTGTTAGGCCTTAAAAAAATTATAAATATTTGATTGCCGTCTGTAAAAATATCGATATATTTTGGATTTTGTTGTAAATTACCATGAAAATTCACTACAACTTGCACGAAAACGTTGCTGTTAATTTTTTTTAAGGGAGAAATATAAGTGAAATCGCTGCATAGTAAGGCGGCAACAAAAATTGAAAGCACGAAATAAATGGTATATTCTGAGGCACAACCAAAAATTTAGAGATTTCTGTTTACCTATAGATTAAATCAGTTTTGTCACTTCTCTGCATGTATAGCGAGTTACGATAGCGCTTTATATCAGCTTTCGAACTAATCGTTAATCCATTTTATTACATGGCTAGCTCCGCCAGCGGGCAAGATGAACCAAATTACTGATGCGCTCTGATTAGTCAACGTAGCGGGAACGATGAGATTTTTTCCTGTAGGGATCATCTCCTGTTTCCCGGACGAAAATGTTGTTGTTTATGTCATGTAATATATCCTTTATTAAGCAGACCAAGTTTGCCCGGCTAAGATGGCTAGATATTGGTCGCGATGTTTTTTTAGCGCCTCGGTCCACAAACACGTCCCCTTGACTTAAGGCTTGATCAAGCCATGAAAGTGATGGTAGCGTAGCGCAAAGAGTACCTCGCAGAACTGTTTCCCTGAACAAAACAAAAAGCAAGCAAAATATAAACTTAACGAAATTTATTTGCCCTTCTGTATTCGGTTGCATGTCAAAGTTTGCTCTTCAATTTAGTCCCTCCAAAAATACAATACAATACAATCAATTTTATTATTAATGTCAATACAAGGGGCGAGTTTGCACTCATGTATGCCAGAAGCTCGTGTAAAAAACGCAATCGAATTACACTATAAATTTTTATGTTCTGATGGATCGGAGCAAAAGATCTTTATACATGTAAGAAATGTTAGCTTTGTTTTTGATGTTTCTTACAACGATTACACAACGATTTATTTGCACAATACTGGTTTATACACCACGTAGCTTTCATTCCCATGCTCATTTAATTTTACTTATTTAAACTGAGGAGTGGTACATTTCTTACAAATGTATACAGGGATAAGAAAAACTGATTGCACAATCCACTCTTAGAACTATAGTCAGGTTGTTATTGAGGCAAACTGAACGCAGAATAACAAAGTTCTACGTACTTAAAAACTGATTACGTATAATTTTTCGGTAATTCGTACTTCTTCGATTAAGCGCCCGGTACTCATATTTTTAACTATACAAATATGATCTCCTTGTCAATCTCCACAATGATTGAATCTATTTGATTCATATTCAATGTTTTTGTTTTCCCAGAATAAAAAAACTGGAGTAATACCGTCCTCTCTTACTACATACATTCATTCATTCACGCATGCTGGCGGCTTTTTCAGGACAGGGGTGGGATTATATTTTGAATTTCATGATTGCACGGGGGTGCATAATCGAAGATGGCAAATGAAATGTGTGTTATTCTACAGATACAGTAAAATATGAGTACCCATGCCGATCGTTTCCGCACAGCTTCAAAATGTTGTACTGTCTACATTTTCTGATTGACATTTATGTAATATCTTTCGCCGGTGCTTTCTATGAAATGAAGTACTCTCCTGAGAAAAAAGTAGCTATAATATGCACGTGAGCACTTTAAAATGCACCGTTGTTGCTGAGCCAACAATGAGTGCTTTACTTTACCTAAGGCGATTTACTGTTATGACTGTTTTTACCTCCTGAGTAAATTACTTTTTTGCTAGAGGAGACCAATATATGTGCCAAGGCTATTTCTAGGCAAATGTTGGCACGATTAACACAATGAAAATAAAAAAGAGTGCGATGGCAATTCCAAAACCAATGGCAAGAATTGCTGAAAATTTTGTATCTCTGGATGCGTCCACAGCTCTTTTGAGGTCATCTTCTTCATAGCGCTGATTAGTCTGAAAAAAAAAATGTTACTTAGTTATTTAGTTTTTCGACTACAGAGATTCCTACTAACAGAGCTTCAGAGGAAGTGGGGGACCCATGCAAAGCCATGGTCCAAAGCCATGTGGCTCACATAAACTATGCATGAGTTAGGTAATCCGTACAACAGAACATTACAGTAATCCAAACGACTAGTTACAAATACATGAGCAAGAATTTCAGTTGAACCTTTGCTAAGATATTTCCAGGTCCGATCAATGTAGTATAACTAATAAGATGCTATTTTGCAAATCTTATTGAGTCCATTCACAAGAGACCATGACCTAGACGATCGTCTTAACTACAGATATTCCAATCAACAGTGGGTTGATACCAAGCTTATTCAGTTGCTGACTGGCACAAATCTGAACAAACTCGGTCTTATCATCATCAACATCATTTACTACGAGATTATCTTTAACCATCTATCATCTCAGGTGGTCGATGCAAGCTTCCATGGCAGCGATCAAAGACAGGTGGGAAACAACATCGCCCAGTCTGAACACAAAGTATTGAGAGCTGAGTATAATCAGCATGACAACGCTCCGGTGCCAAAGGTTTACCAACAATCTCTGATAACATACATGCAAAAATGCCATTATGCTGATTGGCAGAGAGCACCTCAATAAATCAAAAACAGTGCAGAAAGTTTGAATTGAGTGAAAAAGTTGAAATTGAGAACGGAAAGTTGAAATTGAATTGCATGTACATTATTAGGTCTTATTAAGAAGTAGTCTCGAGCATTTGGAATAGATAAGCACATTTTTTACTCCCTGAAAAATTACTCCAAATTGCACGAAAAAGTTACTTGATTACCTAAACGAACAGCTTACAAGAGTGCATTGTAAATAGGAGCAGACTGAAGCATGGGCCTTGTGGAAAACCAAACTTAAAACTTCAATTCGGACTAGAACACTGGAAAAAGGTCATGAGTTATGTATTGACTTTTGGGGTATTTGTGAGTTAGCCCCCGGCATTTTATTCCTTTCTTCATCCAGGCTCCAACCCAAGGATTTCTCCAGCAGGTAGCTGTATAACTCATATTCTGAGTTGCTATGGAGTAAATGAGTAAGTTGTTGTACCTACCAGAAATGACATGACAAGTGCCAAGAGGCCAAGCAGTGGACAGAAGAATATCGACACAATGGCCAGAACGCGGTAATCGTTCGGAGGAGCTTCCCTGAGTGGTCCACGCTTGGAAAATGTACAAGAAAGGCCATTTTAGTAAGACATCGGTCAACATACAACTGGTGACCCCATTCTAATATATATTACTTGAAAAACGGCGGCTAGAGAGCTTTAAAATAATATTATTAATTTGGTTAAACATTCTGTTAAGCTCCCCGTTTTAGCAGATTACGTTAAGGAGAAAATCGCCACTCTTGAAACATCTGGAAGACTGAACTTGCTTGGACTAAAGAGAATAAGATGTAGTAAATGCTACTGATACTCACGCTTTCCATCTGAAAACCAACTGGTACCTAAAAATTAATTGTTTTTAAATAAAGATAATCAGCAATAGATAAGAATAGTGTATAGTATGTAACTCAAAGCTATAAACTTTCTTGTCTGTAAGCCAATCAGGGAAACAGTTGAAACGGTGATGAACTAATGATGCAATCTTACATCGTTGACAATGCATCATAACCAGTTATTATGCGGCCAGCACCATTCCACCCGGGGGAGAAGAAGGGGGAGGGGGGGGGGG